TGTTCAGTTTTTAAAAGCTTAGAAGTTAAGGTTATAAGCAGATGAGAAAATTTTACAGAAAGGTAGTAATTCATGAAAATTCGTCAAATTTTAAAGTATGGTATTTAGAAAAGGTAAATTTTTAAAAGAAAATATGGGAAGCAGCAATCATTGTTTACAGCTTGTTTACCCCAAATTTGATTTCTTTAGAGAAAGGAGTGCTTACCATTGTCCAGTAAAGCACTACCCAATTCCTAAATCAGGATTTCCATGTTGGATTGTTGGGGTTGTTTTGGCATTTGGTATTCAGAGAATTTGTTACTTAAAATTATATTCAGATATAGCAATACCATAGCAGACTCGGAGAAATGTCTCAGCTGAAATACTTTACATTTACTGTTCTGTCAGTTCTGGCATATGTCCACTACTGTTCAACTCCTGCAAAGCAATTTGCAGTTTTAATATTCAGAATATTTTTATGAATTGTAAGTGAAGTTATTTAGCAAGTGCATAGAAGAATTATCTAAAACTTCATATTTGATACAGTGGAATCAGATTTATTCTTTTTCAATTAATCTGTGTTTTACTAATGCACTGGCTCTGATATCACACTGCATGAAAGAATTTCTAATGATTCACTTCAGATATGTTTCACTCTTCTCCCTATATATAGATTTGCAACGTGAGTCTGTTCTAACTAGCTGCAGGATATAACTGACTTGGCATGAAGAGGGCTATAACTCAGTTCTATTGCAAGATAAGACATTTTGGAAAACCAGTAGGGTATTTTAAATTTTTTGCTCCATCACGGCACATGAGAACGTAACTCGATTAGCTTCTTCGGTTGCTTCCAAGCAGTTCCTCCAATGTACAAATAATGTCTAATGCCAGTGACAGGTCTTTGTTATTCTGTCTCATTGACTCTTCATAAAGGACTGGGGGAGGTAAAGGGGAGTCTTTTCTTGCAAAGTTTATTTGGAGAAGTAACTGTCTTTTGGAGTAAGAACTTGGGCAGTAATGGTTCCATGGGTACCTTCCAAAAGGCAGAAATTTTAGTAAGGCAAAGGCAAAATGCAAAACATTTTATATGCAAATTCAAAACCTTCACAGCAACTGCAGAATACCAGTCATATTAGGAGATTCTATAGTCTTTTCTAAACCTTCAGATTTTTCATCCTTGCTTAGAAAAGTGATAAAAATAAACTCAGATGAATTCCTCCAGATTTCAGGGCCCAAACACTGCCCCTTTTCCTTCCTTATTTCCTAAAAGAGAAGAAGAAAAGATTTGCAAAATTTATGTAAAAATATATTATATTTTTTAAGAATTATATAAAAATATTATCAAAATATCAATAGATACTCATCCTTTGAATGTTTCTAAACAGTGCACGAAGGTCAGATAGATGGGATAGTATTGCTGGTCCTAGCACTAACTGAAAGGAGAAAGGATCTCTCAGCACTAGTGATTCTATCATCTTAATTTCTTTCTTAATTTCTTTCTTTGTTCATAATTTGTAGCCAAGTGCAGGCTTAAAATTATTTGGAACAGGAGGAAATAAATCCTTTATAGTATTCTCTTCTTTATCATAATTACCTAAATTACCCATTCTTTGTTATTCTATCTAAATAATTGCAATATAACTAGCTATGATGACTCCCCCCCTCCGCAATAACCTAAATGCAGTAGCTGATGAGGTTAAGAATATATTTCTAAATACACGTGTTTACATTGTTGCTAACAATTGTCCATTTTGTGTACTGGTATTTTTAGGTAGTCAGGGTAGATGAATTGTTAGTGTAATTCGTTACAACAATTATGATACCCCAATTAAATAGCAAATATATATCATAAAGTTAAATACTTAGATTTACATAGAAAAACCAGTGTATTTTGTGTTTGCCAGGGTTTGGGTTTGGATTTTTTTTAAGTTGAAGAATCTTTAATTATACTGTTTTAAGTTTTTGAATTGTATTCTGAAAAAGGAACTATAGAGCAGGACATAGAGCAGACTGTCTGCTCTAAATTAATGTTTTCCAGTGCTTAAGGAAGGCTTTATCTTCTAGCCAGAAATCAGAATCTCTAGAGATGGTTTATGTCTTCCACTAACTTTATTAAAAACCATTCTAAGAAAAATAGCCATTAGGCAGATATCAAGTTCAACTATGCACTGTATGCAAATCCTTTTTAAGGAAATTTCACAATGAAAATTAACTTGGTTTTGTTCAGGTTCACAGATTCGTGTCTCATGGCAAAATGTAAGTCTTTGGAAGATAGATAGTGCTTTTAAAAAGTCATATTATAGCCAAGGTGGGAAGAGAGTTAGGAATATAGACAAGCAGTTGATGCTAAATGGCTTACTTCAGCATATTTAGTAATCCGAGTACTGAGATGATTGTATGTAGCAATACATCCTTTCCTTTACTGTAATTCTGTGCTTTTGAATTTCTCAGTGCCTGTAGCCTGTTAGTATGGGGTGAAATGTTATGGTGAGACATTTATGACTGATTTGGCCATTTTTGCTCTTTTTGAGAGGGAAGGTTTTAGTGATCTCCCAATTACTGAAGACACAAACATGCAAGAAATGCATCTTAGCCTTTCAATTTTGCTACTATTTATTCACAGTGTAGAGTGAAAAAATTAATACATACATTAAAGCATAATTTCTTCTGCTTTATTGTGCATGTCAGTACCAGCTGTATTGCAGGAAGCCAAAAGAGCCAGACTTAACTGCTGTCATATTTGTTTTATAAACTCCAATGATACATTTCTTATTAGAATTTGTCAAAAATCCAGTAAAGGTGTGTTAACTATTAATTTTCCTTAACATTATTTTTTTATTGTGCATTATACATAACTACAAAAAGAGAATGTCATCCATCTAATATAATATCTATAAAACTCAAATAGTCACTTCCGTAAGATAAATTCATATATCACTGTGAGAGTTTCATAAGGGATCCCATCAAGAAATTTTGAATACATTTGAAATTGTTTAGTGGTTATTCTGAATACCAAAGTTTTGTATGCTCTAATTTGTATTTTGCCATTTTTATTTCACACACACTTTCAAACGATGTATTTTCAATTTAAAAAAAAAAACAAATAAGGACTTTGATATGGCAAGACTATATGTAGCTAAAATATTAAATTGGAAATTACAGATGCACTTGGCAAATCTTTCTTTAGGATAAGCTTGACTATAGGATGGTCACCTGGCACTTGTATTTACAGGAGTAACTTGCTAAATAATACAACCAAGTGAGGAAGATGTCATTTTAAATCATATCTGATTTACATTTTTATTTATTTATATTTATTAACACTATTATTTCTATTTTGTCTTAATTTACTAAAAATAATGAATTTAATTCTGGAATACATTAAAAAAGTCCTACCCTGTACTGGTGTGTGCCAAAATTATACCTGTGGATTTTTTAAGTCACAGCTCTCTGAAATTTCAGTTCAGGAATATTATTCAAATTCTGCTCTCCACTGGATTCTTTTTATTAGTTTCACCCTCTTAATTTATGTAATTTGCTCAAAAATATGTGCTGATATTTAGTATTTTATGTGTTACAACATTGAACTTGACTGCAGTTCCTTGAATATGTCCAGCTAAGTTGTCCGTGCTTCTAAGTAAACATATAGTAACAATGGCTACTGATCATAACTAATTATTTGTAACATGCTCATTACTTTCATCTGCCCTTTTTATTTAAACTCCCATTTTCATGTTCTGTCTTGGGTGAAGATTGTTTACTGTCTGTTGTCTGTTGAAATTTTTCATCATATAGGCAAAATGCAGGATGGGAATATGGAGAACAGCCAGAACAAAGGTAATCTTCTTTCATATTAAGGAGGTTGTGGATTTTATTTTTAGCATGTAGTTAAATTCTTTTAAAAAATAAAAAGAAAATTTGTGATTTGTGCCTGTGTGTGAAAATGGCCCTATTGTTCAAACAGAATGTTAAAAAACCCCGAACAGCCAAACCCAGCAAAAGAACCTACCAAAGAGATTGTAACTTTACAGAATTTTGATATATCAGATATTTAGGACAGGAGAAGATCGGTATTTCTAATAAGCCATTTATAGATGATACTTTCATGTCACAAAGCTTATTTGAATTCGTTTTTCTTGTGCAAGTTATGTATGCTGTGTATTGTTAGTGAATTTCCAACCCTATTTTTGATATGTCTTGTCATCTTTGGTGTTCAATGGCATTGTAAGGACATGTTTTCTTTTGCAGGGAGAAGGTAAAGCAATAACAAAAGGAAACTTTAAAGCCAAGAGGTTATTTAGCAATGTAAAAGTGTATTATAAGGGTAAACGACTGGAAGAGTAAGAATCTTAGGAATTTCTTATTTAATGTACAATCTTAGGAAGAAATTGAAATAATTATTTTGCTTTCTCTGAAGCAAAAGTCATGGTTCCCTTTTTATTACATGAGACACAGCTATCTTGATTTCTTTAGGTTATGCCAAATAAGTAAATTAAACTATAACTTTCTCTTCTCAGATAATACTACAGATTGCAATGGTGATGGATCAGAAACTGAGTAGATAAACTTAGTGGTTAATGGTACAAAGCTATTAAATAAAACGATATTAAATGAATAAGTTTTAAGGTTAGATAGGTGAATTAGATTTCCAGGTCAAATAAGCATGGTTTTGTACAATTTTTCATGAATGTCAAAGCAAAGCTGTTTCATCTCATTCTATTTAATTTACTTATGTCTGTGTGCAATACAAAACAGACACATACACATATATAAACTGGAATGTCATTGCTTTTAAAAGACACATCTTTCTCTTTGATACTAAAATAAAGTTTCCTTATATTAGCAGTAGCATTCTTTCCAGAAAGGATGGTTTAGCCTTTAAATTATGTGTGCTTTTGACAGGAGAATGATGATAGTATCACCATTGGACCTGATGGTTAAGTTACTTGAACACTGAAATGCTAAGGAAACTTTTAAAGTCTGGTATTATCTAGAATAGTGGTTTGCAAAGTGTGGTCCACTGGCCCATGCAGTCAAGAGAAGTGGCGCATGGATCATCTGTGGAACCACATTACCTTAAAAATGTTTTCATTAAAAATATGATTATAAGGGTGCATTGTAATCTATGAGACATACCAAAATTTAGAGAAATACAGACTGTCTATTTGCCGAAGCATTTGGGAACTGCTATTCTAGGAAGTCCTGCAGTACTGATGTACTGTTACTTGCCAAGTAATTTGCAAGACATTAAGTGATATATATGTGTATAACACAGAATGTCATTGGTGGATTAAAAATAAATAAATAAATAAGTAAAAATCAATGGTTTTCGCGGTACTTGAATGGCGCAGTACACACCCCCATATGGATGGAGTGCACATGGGTCTGCTTGTTCATTTGTGCCCCCGCAGAACCCCACTGGGTCTCATAGGGGTGTCTGTCTGCCATGGAAGTGTAATTCTGCACAGTTACAATTATCTGTGTTGCAATCAGCCCCTGCAATGGGAGTTGCTGATTGAATTCAGTAAGTATCAACACTAAGGTAGAAAGAGTGAAGAACCCTTTTGGAGTAACAGTTTTGTTCTGCATTATTAGCCAAGCAGCAGGATGGGGCTGCTGCCATGGAGATGCAGCCACTGAAGAGTGCAGAAGGGGGAGAGGGAGATGACAAAGACAAGAAGAAATCCAACATGCACAAGAAAGAAAAATCTGTTCTTCAGGGAAAGCTGACCAAGCTGGCAGTCCAGATAGGCAAAGCAGGTATGACTGGGGAACTGACCGCATAGCGGTGTGTTACACTAGCAACAAACGGTTTTAAAGCAAGTTATTCTTAAAAGGGATAGGCCTTTTGTACTGCAATATTTAGAAATAGGTCATCATAGTACTGTTCTAAGGATAGTATGTGGTATTGAATGTCTTTTATTCTTCTAAAACTTACCTTTGGCTGTCAAGAAACTGGAAGCTTTGGGCAACTTGGATTGTAATGAGTATTTGAATCAAAATGAAATGTAGCTTTTCTCATAGTCAATATTCCCAAGTGCAGTAATTACATATTTAGTTTCCCCCCCCCCCCTAGAACTTTTGACTACACAATTTCAGAACCTCTAATATAATCTCAAAATATCACTCACACACTATTTCCCTCTTATGGATTCTGAAATCATTCTGCTCTCTCTTAATATCTGTGTTCCTGCCTTCTACCCAAATATGACACATCTGTTGACTCTTGTTTCCAGTACCATCTGGTCCCTACTGTTATAAGTAGCACTTCTCCAACATGTAGGTAGAAAGCGAAAATCTTTCATAATGACATAATATTCATGGTATTAAAGGAACCTCGATCTCTATCCAGACCTTGGCTGAGGCCCTGCGACAGACTTCTTATTTTGCCTCGGTTCAATCTCCTTTATCCTTCTTTACCAGTTTGATTTTTTTCTCCTGCTATTCCCTCTCATTCCTTTTTAAGTTCATTACACTTAGTTGATCACATAACCCCATGATGCCACTTCTATCTCTTTGCCTGAACAGTGCATGATTTGGAATCTATGGTTGTCATGTCTTTAATATCCAATTTCATGCTTTGCCCAGTTTCATATTCCTCAAGCTTCTCTGCTTTGTTGCTAGTTGTACAACAGTACGCATTGATATAAAAGCACTTCATTTCTCATCATCATTAATTTCTTAGATTAAGTACCTTTCTACATTGCCTTCTCATTATTACTCTCTTTGGTATTTCAGCAGGCATGTGAATATCACTTTTAAAGTAATTGTATAGAGATTTCTAACCATAATGTGGCAAGTAATATGAATTAAATTAATTAATCATTGCCTCATTGGGTTTTTCTTTGTCGTTGGGCAATCTATGGGGATGTCTTGTGTTGTCATGAGTATTTGCCTGTACAGTATTTTAATGGATTTTCCTTTATCCTCTGGCATTTAGCAATCTCCCCGACTCATCTGTTTCCTGTCAACCTTAGCATCCCTCAGCTTACCATTTTTTTTTTTTAACTTCAGTCAAGACATGAAATTCACAGCATTCTCCTTCTACTGTATGATCTCGTTAGAGAAAAATTAATTTATTCTGAAATGCAGGCTTAACTGCTTCATAGAGACCTGCCAAAAGGCAGTAATCATAGCAAGGCAAAATAGATGTTCTGATGGAGTTTTTATTTGTATACTCAAATCCAGGAACAAAATTGTGGAGGAGGAGTGCTATCTTAGCAACGTCTGTGTCATTGGGAGAACATATTAAGTCCCCAGGACCTTTTGTGAATTCTGTGAAGTATTTATTAATGTCTCTTTTGCTATACTGTCAGTGTTGTACCTCTTTTGAGCCTCTTCTCATAAAAATATGCACTGTTTGCATATATCCTTTTGAAAAGGAAAACCCTGGAAACGCTAGTTTTTAACACATTTTCAAGAAAAACAGTAAAAAACTGTTCTGTGGACAATTCTGCAGTATTGCTTCATTGCATTCGGCCAGACACATCAGCAGGGCTTTTCTAAAGCAACATAAACTACAGGAGATTCCTTTTCTCAAGCCTCTTAAGATAAGCTTATTTAAAAGAAAGATGAGTGTTTGAATATGGATAGACTAGTAATTTGTAAAAGGTGGAGGTCAAAAGGACAGATAAATGTTGTACCAGGCAAAGTAACGTACTAAATTGAAAAAAACTTAGCTTAAGCAATAGTGGAACTCCTGTTGAACTAGATTGACTAAGAAGTTTTAAAAGCAGCAGTAAGATGGTGCTTAAAAATTAATGCAGTATGATTCAGCTGTTCTGTAGAATTCAGTGTTTCCTTGTTCACTGGAATGTATGGCTGTTGTAAATGTATTATCGTAAAGTTTTTTCTACGTTGTAAAATTTATCATTTTCATCATTACTGGTACTGGTGAAAGATGTCATGTAGAATAAGAAAATAATTTCATATGAAATTCAAATGTAGATTTCTAATTGCACATGTTTTTAATTGTGTTTTGTTTTATAGTAATTGATTATTTCTATTTTCAGGTTTGGTGATGTCTGCCATCACTGTAATAATTTTGGTACTCTATTTTGCCATTGACACATTTGTGGTCAACAAGAAGCAGTGGTTGCCTGAGTGCACTCCTGTCTATGTTCAGTATTTTGTTAAATTCTTCATTATTGGTGTTACTGTACTTGTGGTTGCTGTTCCTGAGGGACTTCCACTTGCTGTCACTATTTCTCTGGCCTATTCTGTAAAGGTAAGAAACATTAAAAATAATTGTGGGAGAAAAATGCTGTTCAGTTGAGTTTACTAGTGAGTTAGTCTCAGGTTTTATCAGGTGTGATGAAAATTGGCCTGTAAATTAACGTGCTCAAAATATTAATGAGTGTGAAATTTCTTTAAAGTGAAACTTTGCTTTATATTGAGAGTTTTTCTGACAAAAATGCAAATACATATGTATTCTAATACATATCTTTAAAACTATGCAGTGCAAGAATATCAAACAGTGGAAATACCTGCTTAGTTTGCAAGGTTACCAGGAATTTATTGAGCAGAATTTACTATGAGAACAGTCCAGTCTTTTGATACAGAATAACCTTGTCTTCAAATTTTCTTGTGGAATAGTACAAAGTTTTGTCAAGGATTTGAAGTCTCCAGGAACACTTTTCAATGAAATTAGAGTTTCACTGGAGCTTTCATGTACTTTTCTTAAATGCAGTTGCAGTTCTTTGTAGCCAAGGTAAATGATTCTGTTAGGAAATTAAAGAGGATTAAAATCCTGGACTTGTGGATTACTCCATTATCTATCTAGGAGTTATCTCAGATTGTTTTAGCAATTTAGTCAGATGGGCCTTATTTAAACATTCTGGGAATCTTAGATGAAGATTTTGTAAAGTTTATTTCCATTTAGTATGTAAACAATTTAACATATGAACATTAAGAAGCAACAGCTTGATTTGTATGTAGACAAACATCACTATTATTAGGAAAAAAGAGCACATCTCAAGCATGGGATTTTGCTAATAAAGACTTTAGCTGCTTTTAAAATATTTTCATGTTCTTATGTCCTTCATCTAACACATGCAGCATGTACATGTGTATCTATATTTGCAGTATCAAACTGCAATACAGCTTTGTGTACAATTGGTGATATTGTGCCCTATGAATATAAGATATTATCTGACAGTAAGGGTCAGGTGACTTGGCATAGCATTTTTTAGTATTGAAAACACAGAAGGAAGGATAACATGTATTTCCAGGATGGCTGTGCATCTTGTGAAAAATATGCACTGTGTAGTGGAGTAGTGTATAATGGTGGGTTTTTGTGCGTGTGGGTTGTTTGTTTTTGTTTGGTGGAGGGTTTTTTTTGTTTGTTAGTTTCTTTCTTTCCCAAAATGTATAGTCTCTCTGTGTGCTGCAAGATAAAATCCTGGCATTGGAAATAGTATTTTAAAAAAAGTCTAATATTTGCTATAATGATACTGTTTTAAAAATCCTGTTATCTTCAGTTTGTTTAGCTAATCTTTGCTGTTCTAGCTATTCCTTAAAATGTATATATTCTGCAAAAAAAGGATGGAACTATGTCCGTTTATCAAAGGTGAAATTATTTCAGGTATAGTTACTGCTCGGTTGTCTGTAACTGGGGCTTGGGTTATTGGCCCCAGTCAAATTCCTAGTTTACTAAGCATTATGTTCTCATGAACAAGACCAAATACATGCTTTTTTGCTTTTTATAACTGATGTTAAAAATCTGTCAAAGCAAACCTTGAAGGTTTTTTATTTTGCCTTTTCTCAGAAAATGATGAAGGATAACAATCTGGTCCGCCACTTAGATGCTTGTGAAACTATGGGTAATGCTACGGCCATCTGCTCCGACAAAACAGGGACGCTAACTACCAACCGGATGACGGTTGTCCAAGCCTATGTTGGTGATGTCCACTACAAAGAGGTCCCTGACCCAGATTCTGTACCCGCCAAAACCCTTGATTTGCTGGTTAATGCAATTGCTATCAACAGTGCTTATACTACAAAAATTCTGGTAAGGAGGCTTTTTCTGTTGATAAAATGAAACATAGCAGAAGAGTTGTAATTTTTTTAAGCAATGTTAATTCCTTATCATCCTGTTGTTGATTATGAAGCATTAAATTCTGTTGAGGTCCTCAAAATGAGAACAGGTGCAGTAAAAACCATATATTTTATGTTTTTCTTTTAAGGGTAGGGATGTACTTACAAGTACAAGACCGTGCTACGTTTAAAAAACTCCTGCTGTTATTTTGGGATGGCCCAGTTTTGGTGCAGGTAAATTTGCTAACACAACTAGTTTTCATGGAGACTTCATATGTGTAAAATTATTTTTGCGTGTCTAAGAACTTTCGATTCATTCTCAGATAGGACAAATTGGATTGGTTAAATCAGTGAGCTTAATGATCTTGATTCATTCTGGTTTCAAGTGAATTACAACCAGAAGTATTTTATTGAGTCTGTAAAGGAGGGCAAAATGGAAATATCCTGTTTACTTGTGGCATTAGATTCTTCTGGACAGAGCTAATTAAGAGGCTGAAAACTTTTGCATTTCCAATAGATTTGTTCTTTGAAAGGTCAAGCTTAATCTTAATATTGCAGAACAAATACATTCTTTTTAGTTTCCAGATTTATGTATTGTCCTTTTTAGAGCTCTATGCTGAGCTGTATAATATAGTCTTGCATGCATTTCACGTTTGTTTTAAAAGTAGTCTTTTAAAATACAATCACAGAAAACAATTGGTGAAATACTACTGAGTGCTGGAGTATATATTTCCTTTAATTCTTGCTACGTAAATATCTGGATATTAGTAACAATCAGCACTTGGAAGAGGAATGTTTAGAGAAATCTGACGCATATATGCAAAGTGTGTTTGTAGCAAAGGTGGTTTTGAAATTAATTTTCCCGAGGCTTGTTTAGCCAGAGTTAGTGTCTGAAGTCGAGCCACAGCTTAGGCACGTTTCAGACAGTCGTCTGTGCTGTGATGCACTCGCTCTTCTGTGCTCACTGAAAAACCCCTGGAAAGGGAAATGTGGGAAGAACCAGCCCTGAGGCAGCTTGAGCCGCTTCCTACGTCAAGAGTGGACAGGGAATCCTACAAACTCTCTATCAGCTCAGAAAGGTGCTGTTAATTGCCACCTGCCAGCTGAAATCAGCCAGCAATGCGAGTGCCCCACTTCTGTTCCACTGTAGAGACAAATAGCTCTAGTCAACTGAGGTTGGAGCTAGCCCTTTGGACTTTGAACTGAGATATTCTGGCAAAGCAGAACTCGCTCAGCCGTGCACCAATTTCAGCTGTGAGCATCCAACTAGTGGCACCAGTTCCCAACCGAATCCTGGATCTTATCCTATGCTTTTCCTGTGGTCTGTCCAGGTTGCAATCAATCGGGTTAGCTGAAATGAAAGATGGACCTTCCATTCTCAGGTGTTTGGTGTAAATGCTGTGTGATAGCTCAGTGTGGATATTTTCTGGCAGTGGCTTTTTTAAATCTTAATTTGCATATTTGTAAATTAGAAAGAATATTTTACTATTGCTGGGTAAATCACGCTTTCACAAATCAGTATAACATTTGATTGTTGGGGAGAGGAACATGCATCTTAGTTATTTTAATATTGTTACAGCCTAAGGAAGGTTAGTTACTTCCTTCTGTAGAAAGAGAAATAGAATCAAACTCACCCTCAACACACAGGCTGGGATTAAGACAAGGTAATAGAGACAAATTGGGATGAAGGATAATAGGTAGCTATATAAATTTGTGTTTGTATAACTGCTACCGTGGTAATGCTAGTCACCAGCATCAGTCCTACAGAGTTTGACTTTGGGAGGGCTTTGGAAGAATGTTACCAATGTTGGCAGAATTTTCCTCATTCTTAAGAAACAAGGCAGAGGGCAGGTAGATTGAGTGGTAGTTAAGTCAGGTGTGACTGGCAGAGCAAAACTCAATGTCAGCTGTGCTTCATTTGTTTTATATTTTGCTGTTCATTTTGAATGCCTGAGATCAAACACAGTAACAAAGTGTTTCTGTTCCACTTCCATACCAGTTTGTCCTCTCTGAATCTCAGAATAGATTTAGGTTTCTGGGTAAGGCACGGGAAGGCATCAGACTTTCCAGAGCAATGCATCTGTAACATTAAGTTTAATGTTCTGTCTTTCTCTTGTGGTAATAGTTTCATTTGACTGAAAAATTTCTGGTCAATAGTAGATCTAAAGTTTCACTTTGGTCTCAATATATATTTGAATTTATTTTTTTTTTACTCTGGCTTGACTCCATTGCTTCTTGTTGAAATTAGTTATGTGTGCCTATTAAAAGGAGTCAATACTTCACCACTGCAGTTCTTTTTTAGCTCTGCACAGAGACTGATTCTCTGTAAAATTGATAAATGGGTGAAATCCTCTGGAAATCACCCCTGTGCTGTATGCGTATCAGATAACTACTTGAACTTATCTGTGTAAAATTAATGGTGTTTCTATTATAACAGTATCATAAGATCAAGCCTTGTGGTATGGACCCCATGAGAATTACAACTCCAATATCAGAGGAGTTCATTTTATTCATTGTTTATAGCAAGCTTAAGCTAAATTTTAAGATACAAGGTATTGTTCCATAGCCCTCATTCATTTTAAATCATAAATAAATACAGTAAAAAAATACGTAAGGGAGTTGTTTCCAGGATGAAGTATACAGAATTATTTTTCTAGCTCCTAATACTGAATGCATACTTGTGCACTCAGAGCATATTTAATCAAATTGTGAATATCAGCTCAAACCCACAGGGCTTATAAGTTTTATGTCACTAAGATTGAATTTTACATACTCTATTTTTAGATATCTAGTTATGCGTATGCTGTAAATTGCGCTTTGTATGAACTTCTGTTCGGAGTAATCACATATGGGACCATAAAATTAGTCAAGATGCTCTGCTGAATGAGAAATATTCCCTCTTGCATTGTCTTTTGATTAAGGGGCAACTGAACCATTGATAAAAATATAAAAAGAAAATAATACCACTGCTTGGGATAAAAGATTTGAATTTCCCTGAGAAATTAAACACAAATTATTCCAACTGAACAATAGCATCATTAAATATAGTTCTTTTTAATGCTTTCCAAGGATTAAGTAACTGGGTGAGCTGATTTTGTGTTCCATTAGCTTCAGAGTAACTTTAATGCTGCTTTTATGCCGTTTATGTGAAGCTGTTCTCCAGAAAACCTTTGTTTTCCAGTATTCATGTTTCAGATAGCTTTCCCACATGGAAATAAAAATTAGAGTTCATACGTTTTTGCATGTGAGCTGTGATGAGGATTATAAGGCATCTCTTACTCTGAAAACAAAATTTGTATTTTGGGAATACTTTCATTGCACTTGGAGCAGAAATACATTGATCTTGAATATCATGGAGCAATAGTGAAATAGAGACTCCAAATACCAAAACTAGTGATTTGAACTCTTCTATTGAGCTCTTGCTTGCATAAATTCAGTTTTAATTGGAAAAGTATTTGTTCTTCTAATTTCCTGAAAAATGTCAGAGGGCATAGATGACATGCTTGCTGGATGGGTATAATGTGTTCCTGTTAAGAAGAGATCACAATTAGTATTTGAGTGATTTTCAGCACCAGTGGAAAAGACCCAGCTGAACCTGTTATTGTTAGGATCTAACACAGGCATTTCATTTGGTACTTGATAGGTGCCTAGGGAGCAAAAAAGCTACTTATGTCTGTCGTAGGTGAGTATCTGGATCTGCATCAGGAGGACTGTTTTCAGTTCTGACGATCTGAGTATCATTTGCTGCATTTGCATAGTATGTGGCACAATGTAGTGGCATCCTTTAACCAAGGGTCTCGAAGGGAAAAAGGCAGAGATGTCACAGAAAAGTGCAAAACGTTCGCTCCCTTCCACAGCTTCTGCCAACTTAGGAAATGAAGTAAACTTATGTTAGTCTGTATGTTAGTAAATGATAGTCGAGTAATGAATGTGATCTTGTAAAACTTTTGAAACAAAAAGGCTTCTGTTGGATAAAACCAAAAGCGGGCAAATGAAGCAAAAAAAAACAAAAAAAAAAGAAAAAAGAATGTAGACAAGTTTATTGCAGCCAGAATAGAGAAATCAATGTTTCCTGTTTATCATATGGCAGAAGAACACCTGCGTATGACACTATAACATCTGTCTAAGGAAAAGTGAAGTTACCAAGGTTGCTGCCAGCACCCAAATTCCAACCACATTCCTACCACAGCTGTAGATGAGGGTCTGCACCGTACGCTCCAACAGACCTCTCCTCACAAGGCTGCAGGGATAGCTTTGAGGGCCCCAAATAACCCCAGCAGGGAGGAACAGGAATTCCCCACAATCTTCCCTGAGAGGAGTTTTTTCTGGGGGAGAGCGATGGTTGCCCTCCGTGGGAGAAATGATGCTGAGGACACAGGCTGGCTGCGGGGGTGCGTGGCGGCAGTAGCAGTAGGATGGAGCTGCAACATGGGCACAGCCATTACCATTTACTAGGAGAGAGAGGAAGGTGTTAATTCACCTTCTTGCTTTGTGTAATTACTTTTTCCTGAATATATAATAAATGACCTTATTAAAATAAGTGGAACAAAATTTCTAACTTCTTTATACTGAAAGCAGTTTGAGAGATTTTGAGACAGAATTTTATTGTTAAGGATAAATAGCTCTTTTTACTGATCGTCTGATGTGGAATACTGGAATCAATGCCCTTCATACCTTCCTGGAGAAAAGGGGTGGAGGGAGGCTGGCAGAGCAGGTAGGTAACCCATACTATATGAAAACCATAAGAAATTACAGTCTACAGAAGTGAAATGGTAAACGTAATGGACAATAAGATTTTAGCACAACAGCTGCTTCACAGGAATAGATGAAAATCTACTGTGGATATTGAGAACATGGATGTAGTAGCCAGGTGAAGGGTTCTTTTTATTTGTGAAGAATTTATTTGCATCCAAAAGAAGTACCGCTATCTGGGTTGTTGGGAGACATAATGTTCCGGTCAGAAATGGTCTTTAA